TCACAAAAATCACCTCAATAACACCACCACAACATAGATCCAAAATCAGGCTAAGAAAAACAGCACGACAAACACGCCCAATAGCAAAAAAAAAAAAAAAACAACGAAGAAAAATAACGGATCTCGGCATGATGTTGCTGGCTATCGCAGGGGAGTTTCGCCGCTGCTCACAGGTCTCCGATGACTCGATGAAGGACGAGAGAGAGAGAGAGAAGAGCGAGGAGGGAGAGAGACGTGAGGCGATTCAGAGATGATGATGAATGGGGGACGTGGTTGGAAATTAGGGTTTTAATTATTAATTGAAACAAAACTTGATTTTTGATTAAACAAACATTACACCTGATTTTTGAATTTGGAAACTTAAATGCAGGGTACCAGGTAATTTTCTCAAAGATTAATGCATCATTCAGGGCCCATAAAGCTATTATTTCAAATTCATATTATAGTAAAAAGGCTTCCTCATATTCTCTAAGCTTGTCCTTAAGGCAAAAGTTTCAACTCGAATATAATCTTTCCACTTGCAAAAGCATGTGGAATATAACAAAAAATTAACCCACTTTCAAACGTAAATCACCTTTTTCCAGTGGTGGAACAAATAATATCTTATGTGTCTAAGAAATTGTCGCTGCCATTATGCAATGAAGGCGCACAAATTGCCAAAATAATAGTGCTAAATGATTCCTTTCTCCCACTCAATTCTACCTTAAGATAAGGAATCCAGAAAGGGTGTGATATAAAAAAATAGAAATAAATTATAAACGTCTAGCTCATTGTATGATTCGTTACATGGCACATGACACATGAATGGACCAAACAGAAACAGTATAAACTCACAGAGAGTTCGTTAGCACTGCATATACCCTACCTATCCATTCATAGGCAAAATATGTAATCTCATAAATCATAATAATAGTACTTTACACATAAGACTTTGATTTGGCTTCTTGTTTAATAGGTTCTCGACGACGAAATGTTTGCCATTTTGGTCATGATGGCACTCTTCACCACCTTCATTACAACTCCAACAGTTATGGCCATTTACAAGCCAGAACACAGCCTCTCGGCTCTTGGTGGGTGTGAATTTTGGAAGAAGTTGTCAAATGCAAAAGGGACAGATGCAGAGCTCAATATCCTAGCCTGTATTAGGGGACCAGGAGACTCGCCCTCTCTCATAAACCTTATCAAGTCATCTAGCTCCAGTCAAAGGTTCATAACGAAGCTGTATGTTATGCAGCTAGTTGAATTCACGGATCGATCTTCTTCACTAGTTATGGTTCAACGTGCCAGAAAGAATGGCATCCCATGCATAGGTCGCTTTCACCAGGGTGAGTCTGATGAACAGAGAGCAGCAGTTTTTGAAGCATACAATCAACTAGGTCGAGTCACAGTTCGTCCAACAACCGCAATCTCAACATTATCTATCATGCACGAAGACATCTGCCATATAGCAGAAAAGAAAAGGGCAGCAATGATCATCTTGCCCTTTCACAAACAGTGGAAGAGAGATGGTGATCAAGACATTGAGATAAATGTAGGCCATGGTTGGAGAAATGTCAATGAGAAGGTGCTGATAAATGCACCATGCCCAGTAGGTGTGCTTATAGACCGTGGATTTGGGCTCGGGGTCCAAAAAAGTTCTAGGGATAGGGATCTTCTGAAGAGAGTGTGTGTAGTTTTTTTTGGTGGCCCCGACAGTCGTGAGACACTGAAGTTTGGTAGCAGAATGGTAGACAATCCAGAAGTGAGACTTACCCTCATTAAGTTCGTTGCTAATGCTGGATCAGATGGTAACATCAAAACCCAGTCGACCTCACTAGAAGTGTCTGTTGAACTGGATAACAACTCTATTGCCTCTATGGATTACAGAAAAGAAATGGTTGGGTTTTCTTCCCTATTAAATACTCTTAACTGAGATAATACCAACATTTTCAACTCATCAAAACTATGCTAAATCTGTAATGTCACTTGACTGATTAAAACAGGAACATGATGAGGCTGTGCTAGCAGACTTTACAAGTAGCTGCAATGGGGTTGCAGAGTATATTGAGAAAGAAACAAAAGATATTGCGGAAGAGGTTTTAGCAATTGCCCAAAGCAGTGAATTCGAACTCATGGTGGTCGGGAAAGGCAGATTTCCACCCGCAATGGTGGCTGAGCTGGCCAATCATCACAGTGCATACAATGAGTTGGGACCGATTGGAGGCTTGTTAGCCTCCTCGGGTAATGGAATTAAGTGTTCTGTGCTTGTGATCCAACATCATGATTCTACCCATGACGACAAGAGTTTAAGTTTGAAAATGTTCAACAAGAAAGATGGTTCAGCTGATAAATGTGTCACAAATTTGTGATTCACACCATCGCAACCTGTGAACCAAAATCAAATTACCCTGCGTGTTCTAATTCTCGGAAATGGTAGCTTTTAGGCTGAGCCTCAGCCCAGATGTCAAATAAATAATATAAAGTTTCGGAGGATCCTAGTATCAACATTATGTGAATCCTAGATTTCAATCTTCAAATAATTTTCCTCTTTCCTTGTGATATTTAAGCTCTTAGCTATTGAACTTAAAATGGCACATCGCCACTAAAGAAACCACGTTGCAATATTTCTTTTCTTTTCTTTTTTTTTTTTTTGAGATACTCATATTTGAATTATGCCTGCCTAAAAAAGACTTGAAGATTTATTAATTGAAAAAAACAATGATCTTAATTTTATCCTCCTCGTGCCAATATGGAACTGGTAAAAAGAAACTGTAAAGACCTTCAAATGTGACATAAGTAATACCTTAGGCTGTGTTTGATATGCTTAGTTTTCTAGGGAAGTTGGAAAATGGATTCCAACTTTATGGCTGTTTGATAGCCAAGATTTTGCTAGCAATTTGTTTTCCATGTATCTCCTTCACGCGCCAAAGTTCTAGTTTTTTAAGGAAATTGTTTTCCTTTGGTTTTGGTGAGAATATGGTTTCCAACATTTTTTATTTTTTGCTTTTTGCTTTTGGCAATTGGAAATTCTTTTAGACATAATGGTAAAAAAATTTCTCACTTTTATTGACAATTTTCATGTAAAACAAAGTCAAAGGAATTGTATTCGGTATGGTAAAATTATTTTTTTCAGATTTTTTTATTTTTTATTTTTTGGTAATTGAAACAAATTCTAGAACCAATAGTAAAAAAAAATATCACTTTAATGGACACTTTTCATGAAAAAATGAAGCCAAACAGATACCAAACTTTCAACATTTTTTAAGTAAAAAATTATACCAATCAAACACAATTAATTACAATTCCGTGCAAAACAATTTCTAGGCAATTCAATTCCCTGTAAAATATTTTCTTTCCACCCATTTTCCACCATTACGATCAAACGGACCCTTAGTTTTATTTGCATGGAGAACTATATATTCCGGTATGTAGAATAACAGAATATAGAAGGGAAAGAAGAGACAAAGTGAAGGAAAAGGGAGAAGAAGGAAGGATCATGCTACAAGTATGATATAGGATGACATCAATAATTATTCGTGTATGTAGGTGATTATAACAGCATAGGTGAGGACAACTTGATATGATGGGCTCAATAATTATCTATGATGGACATTCAAG